TTTTATTCTTTCATTTTACATATTTGGTCCAGGGTCTCACTACACAGCTCGGACTTGTAGTGATCCTCCTGTTTTCAGCCTCCCCAGCGCTGGGATTGCAGGTGTGCGCCACCACGCCCGGACTCACTTGCCAGCTCAGCGTGCCCCGGGAGCGGGGCCAGCGCGGCATGTAGGACGGGGCTTGACCTCAAACCCAGGTCCCTGTGCTTGCCGAAGCAGGCGTTTAGTCCACTGAGCTATCTCACTGGCCCTCTTTGATCCATTTTGATTTTGGTTTAGTGTGTGGTGAAAGATACGGGTCATCAAAGAGGCTATCTTTTTTCCAGTGAATGTGTTTGGAACTTTTATCAAAAATAAGGTGGGAGGGCCGGAGAGATAGCTCAGTGGATTAATCGCCTGCTTAGGCAAGCACAGGAACCAGGGTTCGATCCCTGGTACCACATGCTAAACTGGTGACAGAGTCCATGTGTAGTGACACACACCTGTAATCCCAGCACTGGGGAGGCTGAAAATAGGAGGACTGCTATGAGCCCAAACCGTGTAGAGACCTGAACTGAACAATAACAGTAACAATGTGGCTATGTCTGCATTTTCTAATCTGTTCCAGTGACCCAAAAGTTTTTCCCTCCCCATACCACATTTTTATCAGTTGCTTTATAGCATAATTTCAAATCTGTGATTGTGCTGCCCTTTGCCTTGCATTTCTTACCCAGAATTGCCTTTGCTATTCTAGATCTCTTCTGGTTCCAGATGAATTTTAGGATTGTTTCCTCTAATACTGTGAGATATGCTGTTGGGATTTTGATTGGGATTGTATTAAATCTGTGTAACAATTTTGGGATTGTGGCCATTTTCATTGTATTTGTTCTTCCTATCCACAGCAAGGGATATCCTTCCATTTTCTTTTTCTTTCTTTCTTTCTTTTTTTTTATGAGCAGAATATATTTATTGAGGCAAAGAAAGCTCCTGTCCTAGAGAGGGACAGGAAAGGGCGCCCAAGCGGGTAGTCCCCGGGAAGCTGTCTCTTCCAGGGACTTTTATAGTGTAAAACCGTGCGGGGCTAAGGTGGAGAAAGGGGGAACTCACTTAGGTGGAAGTGGGGTGGGACAAAACTATGGTAAAAATTTGTTACCTAAGCAAGTTCCAATTCAGAATTTATGAAAGAAAAGCAAACTCATACCTCTGTCCAATGATCTCAGGAGAAAACTCCAAAATGATACAGGGAGAAAAACATTTCAGGTGAGTGACCTCCGAATGATACTGGGAACCTCCAAATGACATAGGGAAAAATGATCTCCCAACCTGACCTGGACAAGTTCGTGTTCTCTAAAACCAAAGAATGAATTTTATGAACAAACAGAGGCTATAAGCAGAATATATTTACTGAGGGAAAGAAAGCTCCTGTCCAAGAGAGGGACAGGAGGGGGCCCGAGCAGGTAGTCCCCCTCTATTTTCTGATATTTCCTTTAACCTCCTTTTTCGAAGTACTGTAGTTTTCTTTCTTTTTTGCAGTACCAGAGATTGAACTCAGGACCTTGCACTTGCCAGGCAGGCGCTTATGCCACTGAGCCGTATCCCCGACCTAGTACTGTAGTTTTCAACATGCATCCTATGTTGGGCTGATCCCTAGGTATTTCAGTGTTTTGGATGCTATTGTGACAGTTGTTTCCCTAATATCTCTTTCAGGGAATTTGTTATCCATGTCCAGGAAGGCTATTGATTTTTGAGTGTTAACTTTGTATCCAGCTATGCTACTGTATTTGCTTTATTATTTTTAAATCCCCCCCCCTTTTTTTTTCCTGTATTTAGGACAGGGTCTACAGGGCTTCACTACATAGACTGGACTAGTAGTGATTCTGTTTTCATGAATTTGCTTATTAAATGTAGCCACTTTTTAGTGGAGTTTTGGGGTCTTCTATGTAGAGTATCATGTCATCTGCAAATAATTTAACTTCTTCCTTTCCTATCATTATTCCTTTTATTTCTCTTGTCTAATTGCTCTGGCTTAAGTTTCCTGGGCTATCCTGAATAGGAGTGGTGGTGGTGGACATCCTTGCACTGTTCCTGACTTTCAAGTGAAAACTTTGTTTTTGTCCATTTAGTATGTTGGCTGTTGGTTTGTCGTAGGTGGGCTTTATCAGATTGATTTTTTTTTGTATCGGTGGTCAAATTCGGGAGGCAGGTGCTTAAACTGCCGAGCTATCTCCCTGGCCCTGGCTTTATCAGGTTGAGATAAGGACCATCTATTCCAATTTTCTGTAGTTTTTTTTTTTTTTTTAAATCATGAATGGGTGTTGCACTTTGTCAAAAGCTTTTTCAGCATCTGTTGAGATGATCATATGGTTTTTGTCCTTGGCTGTTAATATGGTGTATTACATGTACTGATTTACATATGTTGAACCATCCGTGTCCCTGGGATGAAGCTCACTTGGTCACGGCATATAATCTTCCTGATGATTTGCTTTTTTTTTTTTTTTTTACCAGTAGCTTATTGAGGATCCATTTGTCTTGAAGTTCATTAGGGTGACTGGCTTGTGGCCAATTCTATTAGTTGGGTCCTTCTCTGGTTTTGGCATCAGGGTAATGCTTGCTTCCAAAAATCAATTTGTGGTATGACTTTCATTTCTATTTCATTAGTTTTAAAAGTAGTGGTGTTAGGTCATCCTAAAGTAGAATTCAGCAATGCATCTGTCAGAGCCTGTGCCTTTTAATTATATCTTCCATTTCATTGATTGTTATTGGCTCACTTAGAATTTATCTTCTTGATTCAGTTTTGGCAATTCATATGTATCTAGGAATCTGTCCATTTTTTCTACTACCTACCACTCAGCTATCCTCCTGAAGTCTCTGGTATCTTATTATTCTTTGGGGTTCAGTAATACAATTCTAGCTGGATATACTGGTGGTATGCACCTATAAGCCCAGCATTCTGGGAGGCTGAGGAGGCAGGAGGGTTACATGTTCAAGCCCAGCCTGCGTATCTTAGCAACTTAGTGAGACGTGGTCTCAAAATGAAAAATGAACTAAGGAGATAGCTCAGTTCAATCCCCAGTTACACACACACACACACACACCCAGTTCTAGTTGGTGTCTAGTTCCAGGGCCAGACATCACAATGTCTGCACTGTGAGGATGGCAGGACCCACAGGGCCCGTGCCCCTGGCGCAAGCTCATGTGCACACCAGCTGGGTGCTGTCCTGACCCTCATGGCTGGGCCCATCCTATGTGCTGGGTGCACTTTCAGGATGGGACCTCTCCTGCCTGTGCTGCAGGTGTTGTGCTGCTCAGTGCAGAGCTGTGACATCTTCCTCAGAGACCTGGCCTGTGAGACACAGCCCCAGGGAGGGAGGCGGGCGCTGGCCCTGGCTCCCCAGTGTGGGCTGTGCCTCACCCCACAGGCTGTACTCAAGCTTCACAGAGCCAGGCATGACACTCTGGGGATGGGAGAGGGGGACTGGCGGGGACACAGCAGGGCAAGGATGCTAGCCAGCAGGGATACAGCAGGTTGCCCTCCAGCGTGAGGACGTCGATCTCCCAGCTCACGGGACCACCAACACGCAGATAGTCAGATGCCAGCTCTACCTCAGTGCCAAGGACACAGGGAGTCACTATGTGACTCTTACGTTTGAAAAAGAAGTGTCCTAGCAGGACTCAGAAGGCAGGGATATAGGGTGGGCCATGGCTGCAGCCACTGAGGCAGGACACCTCATGTCCCACAGATGCTGTGAAGTGCTCCCAGCCCAGCACGGAGAGGCCGAGGTCACCACACTGGTTTCTGCAGAGAAGGAACTTTCTGGAAGGTTAACTGACTAGGGACAGTGCAGCTCAGATCTCTCCCTGGCAGCAGGGGAAGTGGGCTCAGGGACTCGGGGGCTTCCTGGGCCGTGATGGGAGGCTGCTGCTCCTCCCTGGGCGTGATGCAAGGAGCGCTGTGGCCAGGCAAGAGTGCATTCTGAGCTGGACCCGGGGCCTGGCGCCCAGGAGTGAGGATCTGAGCATGGCAGTGGGGACAGGAACAGCCAAAGATCAAAGCCACAGCTACATGGAGAGGAGGCCCCTGCTCCAGGCTCCAGTGTCACCTTACAGAGTGCTGCCTGGCAGTGGTCACAAGGGCCACTCCAAGCACGGGGCAGGACAAGGCAGCCGAGAGAGCGCAGGGCGACTGTGGCTCTAGATGGGGACACGCTCCTTGTCACGACGCTCCACTCCACACGACCCCTGAACACATGGCTGCTTCAAGGACCACAGTCTGGACTTCAGCCCTGTGTGGAGACGACGAAGTCTGTGCCCCTGGCTCTATCGTCCGTGCTGCTCCTGGCCCTGAGGACTCCTCTGCTATGGCCTGGCACAGGTGTGCAGCGGCCATGCAGAGGCCGCATCCTGGGGTCTCCCCTCAAGTTGGGGACATTCAGTCACTTGGTGTGGGAGCTGTGCTCCTGGGTTCAGGGACTGAGGCGGGGCATGTGTAGGACCCGAGGAGGGCACAGGTGTGGCTCTGGTCAGGCGCAGGCTCCAGTCTGGTTCTCCCTGGATGGCCCAGGTGTGACCTAGAGGGCAGGTGCTGAGGAGACACAGGAATCCCGTGCCTGTGGGAGGTGGGGACAGGGCATCTCCTTTCATGTCCCCCTGGGAAGCAAAGGCACAGAGGCCCCGCTGGTCTCCAGTGTCGCCTGACTTCCCACACCTTGAGGCCACGTGAAGTAACAGCTGGACCAGGAAAAGGTCTGCGCTGCACGCGGCTGATGTTAGGTTACAGTTCTGAGACAAAATCCACTTCAGAACACTGAAGTGTCTACCTTAGCTGATTTCAGAAATGGTAAATCCAGATCTAATTTTCTAATCCGCTTTTCTATTTGACCCTTGAGAAACTGCTCACTGCTGTCACCTGGCTCTGCAAAGTCTTTACTGCCAACAACATTTGTTACATTAGAAAACCAACTCCAGCATAATCCTCTGGCACAGTTATGGGGCGAGGCGCATGAATCACAATGAGTCAATACTTCTTTTGAATATGCATTTGCACTTAAATGGATCAAGTAATTGTTTTACATAAATTCAGGACATATCTAGGGACTAATTTCAGTGACTTTATATCCTGATGCTTCCTGCTTCCTTCCACAGTGACAACCACAAGAACGGTCCCCAGCTGTATCTGCTCAGCCTCCTGAGGAAGGGGCGGAGGTGGGGACGGACCCAGGCTGAGCTGCAGGGGGAACCTGCAGTCATGGTGCTTGAGACAGGTCTTGCCCTGCTGGGGCCACTATGGGGTTAGAGTATCTTTAAAATGAGAGGTGACAGACAGTAACTCTAAGGGACCGGAGCCAAAAAGGGTTTCCAAGGCTGGGGCACAGGGTGGTGGGGCTGTGGGAGCACAGAATCCCTGTGCCCTGGGCAGCAGGCAAGGGCACTCCTGAAGTTCTGGCCCCAGACTACAGGACAGTGCGCACCGCACCACAGCCAAGATGGTCCCGCCTGGCAGGGCTGACGCTACCAACAGGCGCAAGACCTTCACTTACTGTGTATCTGGGTGCTGGGGTGAAGCTGAGCCTTTCACGGGCTAGGTCTATCCCTCACCTCTGGGCCTCCTGCCGGTCTCCACAGCGGCCGTACTGCAATGGGTTCCACACTTAAATCCCTGTTGGCAAGGATGCTCTACGAGGCAGCACCAGCCTGCTCAGGACATGGCTAAACCACACATGCGGAATGGACGTGGTACGTGCTTCCCCATTACTCTTTCTTAGGCAAAATTTGGTCGTCTAATTTCTTCTACCCAGTCATGTTTTAGACACCATGTGTCCTTCCCGCCTACACAATATGCGTGTGCACATACAACCGCGAAGATGCATGTTGAACCGTGTTACATGTGGGTACCACGTGTGAGCCAGCCCTGCCTATGCACACTCGGCTGGCTCCAGACCGACACTCCCAGACATAAAATACAGCCTCTGGGAGAACACCACCTCACAACGCACCAGAAATACGCTGCTTCTGTCTAACATCATCCTCGTCGTGCCTACCCATGATTTGGACTAGGGGATAAAACCTCGTCTTTCTGCTAGGAAATTAATTTTAAAAAGTCTTCCAAGGCAGCAGTTAGAAATCTACCAAATTGTGATTTAAATGAGCCACACTGTTCCCTCCTCATCTCTTTTCTAGAGCGGCCGAGCACTGCGTCACTTCACGGCCTCTCTATCCTTCCAATTCCAGGGGATGCACAGGTCGCCATCCTGCAGGACCGAATAGAAGTGGGACACGCACAGGCGCATGCCACTTAGGGCGGGCAGCGAGCATGTGGCCAGCCGCTCCAGGCAGGCCACCATCTGCCGGCTGGAGACGCTGGGCTCCTTGTACAGCTTCTCCAGGGAGAACTTCTGTGTGGAGGCTCGGACCAGTGTGTCTTCGATGTCCTTTAACCTGCGACACAGAACAGAAGCAACGCTGCCCTGAGGCCACGCAAGGAAAGAGCGTGGGAGGCAAGTGTGTCTGCACCAGGGCTGTCGCTTCCCGCTCACAAGGTGAAACTGGGGTCCGAATAAAGCTGCACGGCAGCCAGACCCCCAGGAGGACGCGCTCCTCCTCCTGCACCCCCGGCGCGCTGGCAGTGTCTCGGCCTTCTCCTCCTCTGCCCAGTCCTCCCACCCTGGGCGAGCTATGCGCCCTTGGACCTGGCTCCGGGGACCGCCGTGGTACGGCCTCACGGCTACGTGGGACCCGCGTCGCTGCAAGTGTGGTGTCACACGCTCCCCACTAGTCCACGTCTGAGACGCAAAACCCAGTGAATAAATGAGTGCCCAGTGTCCTTACAGGGGCCCCTCCTGTGCTGGGTGCTGAGTCCCGAGTCCAGGAAGCGGACAGGCACTGGGGTGACAGGCTTCCCACGGCCCCGTGCTGCCCCTGAAGCAGGGAGGACACCAGTTTGCTACATAGCGCTTTTTCACTCGCTCAAAAACAATGTGGCTGAGCAAAAAGCAACCTTGTGCTGGGTGCCTGCCAACGAGTGTCCCACTCCTGCTTATGAGGCCCAGTGTTGCGTCTCCTGTTCTCTCTGACGCGTGGGCCGCAGCCTCCACTGTGCTGACCACAGGGTTAAAGTTCTCAGCACCGCAGTTCTCTGCCAGTGTACTTCTGCCTGCTGTGCTTGGAGCAGGAGTGAAGTACCACGCCAAGGAGCCCAGACAGCACGAGGGAAAGGACGCTGCCTGCAGCCTGCCCTCCCCTCCAGGGCAGTCACAGCACACAGCCCCTCATCTCAGTCTGAAGAGCATTTGCCTCAGTGCAGGCGCCCGGCAGCTGGATGTGGAACATCTGCCGCCTGCACCCTCATGGACCTGGCCTCTCCTGGACAGGTGCCACTGCCCTTACTGTCCTCAGAGATCTCTGCCCCACCCCCGCGTCACTGTGCTCTTGATGCTGCTGCTGTGGTTTCCGATGGTTCCTGACAAGAGCCTGGCCCCAGAACAATGGGGTAAGCATGGGCCACGTGGTGGGGGAAGGGCAGTACGCCTCAGAACCACCAGGTCCCTAGAAGGCTACCCTGGCAGCAGAGGGACCCTGTCTCCAGCATGGCCACCTGAGTGGAGGAAGCTCCCTGGGCTGGCACTGCTCCGGCTGAGCTCCTGCACAGGCCTGCTGCGGGCACCTGGGCTAAGCCCTCAGCGCTGGAGAGAAGTAGGTTTTAAACATTCCTTTTTGCCCTTCCTCAGAATTGCTCTGCGTTCTCAGGGGCGGGTGGGGTGCCCAGCCCTACGTGTGTGCAGAGCAGAGTCTGGCTCACCTCCACAGAAGCTGCCACTCCAGAGGGCAAGGGCTCCTCTCCCGTCAGAGGAGCTCAGGCGCCTGACACCGGAGAGCACCCGATGGTGACCAGGGCGTGCGGCGCCCCGTGTGGAGCTCAGGGGCAGGTGCGCGGGCTGTTTCGCAGCAGCCCCTTCCACCTCCTGCACCTCCTTAAACATTTTCGAAGCACAAAGACCCCTCTTTGGGAACAATGTGTGTTTCTCCTCACCACTCACTGGAGAATTTTTTCTGATACCTCTGTTGTTTCTGTTCCTGGGGTGAATTTTGTATGTGGAGCCTCACTTCTCAAACCGAGGCCACAGTGTGGCAGAGGCAGTTACTCTATTTACAAAAGGGCCGCGTCTGACCTTGCGCAGGCGGGCACATGGACTCCCTGCGGTTTGGTCAATTCCTGAGTGCTGCTATCATTTCTCTGCAGAGCCAGGCCAGGGCTCCCTCCACGCCCGCCTCTCGTACAGTGTCCCCCTACTTCAGACTCCCAAACCTGACTCTCAGAAGTCAGACTGACGCTGGGCGTGGGGGGAGCATGCCTGTAATCCCAGTACTCAGGAGGCTGAGGCAGGGGCGCTGCTCTGAGTTTGAGACCAGCCTGGGTTCCACAGCGGCCAGCCTGAACTACACAGCAAGACCCTGTCTCAAAAATCAATAAAAAGCAAAGTAAAACTAAACCCGACAGGAAGTCACACTGAGCACCGGCGTGCGGAGGCGGCGCACTCACCGCTCTCTCCTCTTCAAGCTCTCTCGGGCTTTCTGTGCTTTGCTGAGCACAAACCACTGCAGCTCTCCTGGGTCGCACAGTGTCGGGATGTCGAAGTGCCCGAGTTCGTGCAGGCTCGGTGCACGCCGGTCACTGAAACACAAGACATGGGTAGACACTGTACGAGAGGCGGGCGTGGAGGGAGCCCTGGCCTGGCTCTGCAGAGAAATGATAGCACAAGACAATAGACTGCAGGCTCTGTCCGCTCCCTGAGAAAACGTGTGAATGGTCTTCTCCTGCCTGAATGGATCACTATGGGCCTGGGCGATAGCTCAGTAAAATAAGTGCTTGCCTTGCCAGCACAGGGTCCTGAGTTCAATCCCCGGTACCATAAAAACAAACAAACAAAACAAAAAAACCCGCACATACTGAATGGATCACTATGGAAACCCATCCTAGAAATACAGCATATAGCACCGACAGAACCCCAGGGGTTCACTTTATCAGGATTGTGTTTCCTAGCCCTGCTGGAGCCTGCACCCCAAGAGCCGTGAGAGGCACAGGAGACGGCACCGGCACCTGGGCATTGCGGCAGGGCCTGTGGACACGGGCCAGTTGCTAATTCACCCTAGCACACCTCCTGAGGGGCGACCCCGCCACTCCAAACACCACTCTAGGAGCGCAGTCCATGCTGTGTACAAGAGGGCTGCTGAGCACCACACACCGAGACACAAGGCAGCCCACGGCACCCACAGGCAGCTCACAGCACCCACAGCAGCCCACGGCACCCACAGGCAGCCTGTGCAAGGGACGGTGTCAGCCGCTCACCTGCTCAGGATCATCTGCAAGCCACGGAGACTCTGAGGGTGGAAAGGGATCCGCCTTTTCTGCAGCCTGCTACAGAACATATCGAGGAGGGAGTAGTACTCCTCAATGGTCAACTCGGGCTGCAGCTCTTCGATATAAACCACTTGGATGCCACCCAAAAGCCCACTTATGCGGTCTTCTAAAAGCATCAGCTTCCTCCGGAGGTCAAAATAACTTGGCAACCTTTCGAAAAGCTACAGCATTAAAAAAAAAAGTTACTGTAATTACTCAGTTTTAGGATCCTAATAAATAGCACTGAGAAAAGTCTAAGAAAATTACTTTTCTAGAGGAAAATACTTCACATAATACTAGAAAGACTAATACTTCAAAGAAAGCACCCTATAGGGAATTTTACACAGGAATTGAATAGAATGAGTGAGTCTAAGTACTAACTTAAATATTTAGGTAGAAATTGTGAGCACATTTAGAGTAACTCAAAGTTTTTAGACATAAAGTACACGCATGTCCTTCAACTCCTACTCTGTTGTCTCCGCATGCAGTTTCTTTTTTTCTGTCACGTATTTAGTGCAGGGTCTATAGGGTCTCACTATGTAGACCAGACTTGTGATCCTCCTGTTTTCGGCCTCCCAAGTGCTGGGATTATAGGCGTGTGCCACCACGCCCAGTCTCAGTCAACGGCTCAGTGCACCCCGGGGGCGGAGCTGGCGCGGCAGGCCGGGGATCGAACCCCAGCTGCTGTGCTCTGTCTAGGCAGGCGCTTTAGTCTGCTGAGCTCTATCTGGCCGGCCCTCCTGTATTTTCAATCAACTGCATGTGAATAAAATGCAAGCACTAGGGGCAGCTGCTGTGTGCTCAGCGGTGAACCCGACACCGCGGCCACGGATTATGACGTGTCAGGGCCTGAGTCAGGGTCCCTGGAAGCAGCCGCCATGGCCATCCGGCTTCTGCAGTGCCATGTTGGCATGGAGTTTGAGGGTCCAGGGAGCTCCAAGGAAGAACCATCTTGGAACAGGGAATGGGGTAGAGGCGGTGGAGGGATGTGGGGTGCGTGGGGACAGGCGGCAGGCTCCTGGGAGGTCAGGGCAGGGCGGCACGGCGGCAAGGAGCTGGTTTCTGCGGAAAGCCGGGGTCCGTGGACTGAAAGAGGAGGGCACCTCAACTCCCCTCAGTCAAAGCAGGAACAGCACGCGTGCTCCAATGACTGGTAGTCTATTCACTGCATTTTGTGATTAGAAACTGGATTTCCTGCCTTTGATTTTCCTCTTGATGGGACGTGTATTTAAAAAACTTTTTCTCTTTCGGTCCTGGAGATTAAACGCAGGGCGGTGTGCGCGCCAGGAAAGCACACCCCTCCTCATCTACATCCCCAGCCCCCCTTATTTGCCCAGGCTGGCCTCAAATGTGCAGTACTCCTGCCTTAGCCTTAGCCGGGCGCTGGCTGTGTGGAGCTGGCTGCACGCACGCCTCTGGCCTCCGCAGCCACTGGCTGTGGCACTTCCTGCCACGCTCACCCTGGCTCATTTTACGCTGTTACCACTGCTGCCACACAGGTTCCTGCCAGACGCGCCGCCTCCCCAGCCTCGACACCCAGCCTGTTCCCTGGGGGCCCTCAGGGTGCCGCAGCCCCGTCCCTGCTGCTCCCCATCCATCTCCCGTGCAGGCATGCAGTCACGGGCCTGTGCGCTCCGCACCGGGTGCCAAGCTCTCCTGCCCGGTGCCCGTGCTGGGCCACAATCCCCACTCTACTGTGACCTGCCTCAGCCTCCCAAACGCTCCAGGCCCTGGGTGGTCTCACTTTCCTTTCAGCTGCTGGCTGGGTGAGCGGGGAACAGTGCCAGGCCTCTCCGCAAGAGCCACACCTCAGCCCTCAGGGCAACAGCTTTCGGGCTCTGTGACCTGCACACTCTCGTGACATGTGTTTTGTGTCTTGCGCTTTCCTGGCTGGATGGGCCTTTAGTACTTTACTGATGAATGCTAAAAGGTCTGCGTATTTTCTAGATACAGTGTTTATTAGCTATGTGGCTTGCAAATATTTTTCACCAAATATGGGAACTGGACAGAAACCGCACCAGAGCAGACCATTGAAGGCAGAGAAGGACGCAGAGCGGCACTCCCCAGCCGTCATCAGGGCTGCAAACTCAACTCACGATCAAACAGCCGTTGCCTGCTGGGCCGCTGCCTGCCAGAAGTCTAGAGCCAAAAAGTCTGTCCTCAAAGCCAGGCATGGCGGCCTGTACCTGTCGGCCCCGCTGCTCAGGAGGCTGAGCTGCGAGGGTTGCCTGGGTAACACTGGCTGTCTCAAAACAAAACCAACTCTAAGTATTAAATCAAAATAGCTAGCTACTTTTCGCATTTTCTTAAACAGTAAAAATAACCCTCCCCAGGATCTGCCAATTCTCCTGATTACGCAAGACAAGCAAAATGTACTGTGCTTGAACGTTCACGGCAGCCTTGTCTGCAAAAGCCCCAAACTGGCAGGATCCAACTTCCAGCGAATGGAGACAGAGACTGGGTATATTTAAACCACAGCATGTTATACAGCAATGAAAAGGAGCAAACTAAATACACATCAACTATAACATGGAACCTCAAAATGAAACAGAGAAGCCAGGTGGGAAAGTATACACGTGTGCAGAGTGTCTGCGATGACTCGGGTGATCTCTAGAAAACAAAGCGACAGTGCACAAAGGCCAACCAGTCGCCTGGGATGGGGGTGGGGAGGAAGGAGGGCACAAGGGCGACACCCACTGTGCAGAGCAGGCACCCCCACCCTTTGGACTCTGTGATGGCCCCCTGCGCAGTTGCATGGCAAATCTCCCTGGGGCTGTGCAGGACCGTGTGTGGTCACAGTGCCATCAGAACCCAGTGGGCGGGAACCCACCAGAACCCAGGCTTCCCGCGGTGTGGCTTCCTTCTGCCTGAGCTGGCCGCCCCCACGTCTGTACACACGGCACCACGCAGGCTGCCCACTCACACCAGAGGCCACTGTGGGGCTCCCAGCACCCTGCACAGGCTGCAGTCTGCCCGAGCCTCTGCGCGGGCGCCCCTTACCTTGGTCCAGTGGTGGTGGACGTCCACAGTCCCCAGCATCACGTGGCCCACCGCGCTCATGCCGGAGCGGTCCGTGAAGACGAGTGTGCATCCTGAGGAGGAAGCACAGCCCTGGTCATGCCCGAGGCGCGTGTGCTCACAGCTCGCAGAGAAACATGGTTTGCAGAGGAGGCCGGATTCCGAGCCCGGGACTATTTATGGGGTGCTGCTGGGATGGGGGGTGCCGGGACTAGGGGTGGGTGATTACTAAATCAGTCCACTCACTGGTCTGGCACCACCCTGATCTTGGGAGCTTGAACACAACATAAGGGGCAGAGGAGCCTCAGCCTGCTGCTCTGTGGGCTCCTGCCCGCCGTGGCCGTTCCTGCTCTGCAGTGCCCTCTGCCACCCACCCTGCCCTGCAGAGCCAGCCGACGGTGGACCGAAGTGCGACACCCCGGACACAAATAAACCTCCTGCTTCCCCACTCCGGGCGCCGGGCATTCAGTCTCAGCAGTGAGAGAAGTGACTGCTGGTGACAGGAAGGCCTGCGCTTGCTGGTCTGCTTCCCGCCAGGGCACGGCCGGCGTTTACCTCGGGCTTGCTGGAGCGTCTCCAGGTTCTGCTGCGCCAGGCGGCCCAAGCTGTGCAGCTGGCTGCAGCGGTGGGCGATGCCCCAGCTCCTCTGCCACCTGTGACAGACACACGTGAGAGCCACCCCTGCCGCGGCTGGGTCGGCCTACACCACACAGCCCAACGGATCCCGTGTGCAGACACAGCCTGATGTCTGGGGCTGCCACCAGAGGTGAGTGCGTGGCTGCTGTGCCCAGGTACCCAGCAGCCAGAGCCAAGCAAACACACGTCGCCGTTTCTCTTTTAAAATAAGACACAGGGCCTGCAGGGGCAGAGTGGTACTACCGTGCTGCTCAGCACTGCAAGGCCCCGGTTCTCAGCCTGGCGCTGCTGGGCACAAGAGCAAAAACCAAAACAAAACCAAAAAGATGTTTTTGAAAAACATTTCCTCCCCCTGTTGTACAATGTTGGTGTTTTTTAGATTTAGGTTCTAATTTGAAATTCCAACTTATTTACCTAATTTTAATATATCTTTATTTATTTAGGAATTAGTTTTTTCTCTTTTTTTGTACCTGATATTGAACTCAGGACCTTGTGCTTGCCGGGCAGGCACTTATGCTGCTGAGATATCTCCCTGGCCTTTTTGAGACAGGATCTCACTATGCAGTTCAGGCTGGCCTTGAGCTTACTTTATAACCCAGGCTGGTCTTGAACTCACAACATTCCTTCTGCCTCAGCCTTCCGTGGGATGGGACTAAAGAATTAAAGAAACTATTCTAGTTTTCTTACTCTAGAGAAAGTACCCACACACCAAGTACCTGCTGACCCAAGACGTGAACGCTGACTTAGTGGCAATGTGGATGCTAAGCTGAAGTGACACCAGGGAGGACACAGGCAGCCTTGGTGGGACCACAGAGCCCACCAAATCCAAGCCCACACCTCTTTAGCACTGCGTCCTCCAAGCGGAGTGGAGCCCTCTGAAGGGTTTAGGTTTGACTGTGACACCCTTGGCTGTGGACACTTCTGACTACAGTGGGAGTCGGAACCAGCGAGAGAACAAGTGAGGGGCTGGCATTCAAGGTGGACTCTCAAAAAGAAAAAAAGCAAGCAAGCAAAACTCAAGTTGCTCCCTAACCCAACACTAATGCTGATGGACACTTTTTGATAAGACAACCCCCCCTCCCCCGCCCCGCGGAACTGGGGATTGAACTCAGGCCCTGTGCTTGCCAGGAAAGCGCTTATTCCACTCAGCCATCTCCCTGGCCCAAAAACTTTCTTTTAAGCAAAGATCAGTAATAAGATTTCAAGCTGGACGTGGTGGTGCATGCCTGTACTCCCAGCAGCTAGAGGCCCAGGCAGGAGGATGGCCTTATATCTGAGGCCAGGTTGGCCTCCACGGTGAGTCAAAGGCCAGGCTGAACTACAGAGCAACAGCAATACCCTTTCTCAAATCCACACCCCACAAACAAAAAATAAACAAAAATGATTTCATGGCACCAGGGAAATGGTTCTGTGGAATAAATGCTTCCTTGGCAAGCGCAAGGGCCTGAGTTCAATCCCCGGTTTGGGGAAAGAAAAAAAAAAAAAAAAAAAAAAAAAAAAAAAAAAAAAAGATTTCAAAAGATAAACTTCTAGTTTTTTATTATTATTATTTTTTTGGTCCGAATGCTTTCAGGGCAGGTTTGGCTGGCTTGAGTTGTGGGGATCGAACCACAGCAACCTGAGCCTGACTGCTTTGTTGAAGCAGCCACTTAAAGAACTGAGCTAAGGGGCAGGGCCCCAAAAGACAAACCTTTAGTTTCAATTATTTGAAATGTAAAATTTTTCAACTAACAAATCTACCAAATACTGTTTAATAATGGTCTTGCATAGAGGCTGTCAGGAAGTCCAAGAAGTGTCACGAGCCACAACATTCCCCCGCTGGCGTCTTGGTTCACCTTCCAGCAAGCAAGAAGCCCACGCCCAGGCGTAGCCCTAGAACGTTCACGGCTCAGAACCCCTTCGCCATTCTTAAGAACTCAGAGCTCCAAGAAGCTTTCACTTATGCGGGCAACAGCTACAAACACTTCAGCCTGCAGCAAAGCTGGGAAATTTCTCTACAACCTAGTAAAGTAATGCTCATTTTTTTATTTTCCCAATCGGGTCTGGTCTGATTTGACAGAACTTTAGAGCCAGAGATGTATCTTAGGGGTGTAGCACCTGCTTGGCAAGTGCAAGGCCCTGAGTCTGATTCCTGGTACCAAAAACTATAGCAAAAAGTTACTTTTGTGCACATGAGCTTGTTTCCTTCGTAATTTATAAGCAACAGCATTACCTTGTTTTTATTTATTTATTTCTTTATTTTGTGTGTGTGTGTGGCCAGCTCAGCCCACCAGGGGGCGGGGCTGGCTGGCATGTGGTGCTGGGGGATTGAACCGTGGTCTCTGTGTTTTGCTTAGCTCAGCTTGTTCTAAGTAGGTGCCTTAGACCACTGAGCCATCTCACCAGCCCCATTACCTTGTTTTTAGTGAGAAAAGTCTGTCGCCAGGCTGCTGCCGCCGCCTAGACCTGCCATGCTCCATGCCCTGAAGGTGCTGCCTCAGCCCGAGGGGTCCCAAGGTGTTCCTGGGATCTGGTGTGCAGCCATCAGGAGGCGACACTGGGGAGGGCCTGGCCACTGGGCATGTCCCTTCTGGTCGAAGTGTGCCCTAACAGGGACACCGCGCTTCCCCTTCTGCCCCTTGCTGCTTCCTGTCCGGAGGGGGCTTGCTCTGCCCTGACCCAAACGCAGCAGGCCCATGAGGCCTGGGTGCAGCCTCTCTCCTCAGCTGGGTCATCTGCAAATCTGTTACAGTGCTGGCAGCAGCCCAAAAACCAAATCATGGCCGCAAGTCTGTGGATGAGATAAGCCACTGAAAGCTCTAAGCGCGCCACAGGCTGTGCACGCAGAGGCTTTGCTCTGAAACCTGCATTATCTGGAGAAGAAAAATGGCACCTATGGTGCCCAAGTAGTCGCTGGGCTCACTAAGAGCAAAGTGACATGGGTGACATGAGGGTGGGAGAGCAGCAGGGGTGCCGGGCGGGGCAAGGGGCAGGACTGGCGAGTCCACGCCACAGCCCCCGCTCCTCCCTCCTCAGGGCGGGAGACCGTGTGGCCCCGTTTCCAGCACCCTTCCTCGGGGGCCGCAGAGGCGGCTCCTAAGCTCACTCTCTGAAGCAGTAGTCACATGAGGTGGGGCCACGAGTCGCCACTCACTTCCTCTCCTGTGCCCATCCTTTACACCCAAGCAGCAGTCTCACCTGATCAGGGCATTGTTATCTGTTATGTTGCCTGTAGCGGAAGGGAAGCGCTATGTCCCATACCGACTTATGTCCAAAGAGGTCCAGCCCTAGGCCAAAAGTGCCAGTGCTGACACCTTCGATATTTTTATATTTATTTATTTATTTTTTGCAGAACCGGGACTTGAACTCAGATCCTTGGGTTTGCCAGTCAAGCACTTACCCTACTGAGCCATCTCCCTGGCCCCAACCTTCGATATTTTTAAAAAGTAGTAACAGTTTTTTTTGCACAGCTCAGCACTACATCCATGAAAGGCCAACTGAACAGTATTTGGCTATCAGAAAATCACAGTGACAGACACGCGCAGCGGCTGGGCAGACCCGGCGGCTGGCCACCACGCGCTCCTCTCAGGTAGGCCCCCCCCATTACCTGATATCGGAGAGCTGCAGGAGGTTAGACAGTTCATCTTTTAAACGTCCTAGTTCTCTTCTAAGAGGCAAACTATTCTTCAGCTTTTTAACAGCAATGTTCCCATTGTTCTCTAACCAGGATCTAGAAAGAAAAAGCAAGCGTTTTGCAATGCAGGCAACGTAAATACTGCAGCGCTAAAAGACATCAATTACCTAAGCTTGCTCCAGTGCCACTCAGCTCTCAGCCAGACTGACTCTGGACGAGCCGTCCTCTGGGGAGGCCTCGTACTAAAGGAGGCCGTGGGAGCGCTGCCGGTGTCGGCCACGCCACGTGCTAGCTAAGACAACTCTTTCTTTGTCCCTTTGAGACAGGGTCTCGCTGCGCAGCTCTGGCTGGCCTTGAGCTCACTCTGTAGTCCAGGCTGGTCTCAGACTCGAAGCGATCCTCCTGCCTCAGCCTCCTGAGTGCCGGCTTACAGGCGTGCACCACCATGCCTGGCTGACAACTCTTTTCATTCACTAGACAAACTGAGTCACATAAAATCTGTCAATAGCCTGACTGACAGGTTTTCTAGAAAGAATTTTTTTTTTTCTTTTTAAAGACACAGTATCTCTACATAGTTCAGGCTGGCCTCAAGCTCACAGTGATCCTCCTGACTCAGCCCTCTAAGCGCTGGGATTACAGGCGTGCGCCCCTATGCCTGGCAAGGTGGGCTAGTTCTTAAGAAAGTAAAGGTTCCTCTAAGCCTTTCTTTCTCTTTAGTGTATCCCAACAGCGTGGAGGCAAAGGGCTTCACCTAGGTCAGTCGCCCGCGAAGGGCAGAGTAGGAATCAGCTGCCGAGGCGGAGTCTTGTGAGAGCAGGAGAGAAACGCAGATGCAGCGGCCCTGCGGGTTCCAGGCTGGTAGGATCTGGTTTTTGTCTTTGCCCCCATCTTGGACTTTAGCAACTGGGCTCTTGGTGTTTCCTGCCCCGTGTGTCTACCCAGGTCCTTCTGCCCTCGGCCTGGCCGCAGACCCGCATGGCTCCCATCCTCCTCTGCACTGCTGTCCTTCCACTCAGCCCACCCAGGTCTCGATTTACTTCTCTTTTTTTGTGGCACTGGGATGGAACCCTGGGCCTTCGCAACTCAGGAGAGTCTTGCTAACTTGTTCAGGATACAACACACCAGCTATGGGATAAAATCGGCTTAGTAAAAACACGTCCTCTAGTTCCTGTTTCTTGGACAGCGTCCTCAGTGGCCTTGTATGGAGGTGTGCAGGCTGGAGGGCCCGGGCCTCCACTGAAAGCTGCACCACAGCTTCCGCTGGGGCTCCTGGCATCTGGGCTGCAGGGCTGGGCACACCTGGGGCAGCAGTGTCCAGGCCCAGCCGTGGCAGAGAAACGTCCAGGCAGACGCGGTGCAAGGATAAAACAGACAGCACAGTGCGTCACAGCCCCGGCCAGGGAGGGCTGCAGGAGCATCCGGGTCTTCAAGATGGTTCACAGTCTGCAGGCTGAGCGGGGCACCATGATGGCCATTTCGAAGGTGCCAGGTGTAGTGACTGGCACAGTGCCAGGCTGAGAATAATCCCGGAACCAACCCAGTCGCCACTGAACTTCAGATACACTGACGCTGCATCTGGATACGGTGTAGTGGCAGGCAGCCAGGTGGAGAAAGTCCCTGCCAGGAGGGAAGACAGCTCTAACAAGGGTGAACAGGAGGATGGAGGTGGTGGGTCTGGAGGACCGGTCACAAGTGACCTGGTGACAGGTGGCCTAGACAGCAGGGGGCAAGGCAGGGCAGGCCCACCAAATAGGCACACCAGGGTCCTGCAAAGAGCCAGTGTGCCCAGCATGGGACATTTGTCCAGGATGCCCACGCTGGCAGCAGGGGACCACAGGAGAGGCCTGTGTAGGACAAGGCTGGGCACCCTGCCCTCTATTTAGGATTTTTTTTTTTTTTTTTTGCTCCGAATGCCTTCAGGGCAGGTTTGGCTGGCTTGAGTTGTGGGGATCGAAACACAGCAACCTGAGCCTGACTGCTTTGTTGAAGCAGCCACTTAAAGAACTGTGCTATGGGGCAGGCCCCACTGCCCTCTATTTAGGACACGGGCAGAGTCACAGTCCTTCCCACAACCCTTTGTGTGTACTGGTACATAGTCTGTCCACTCTGCATAGCATGTGGTGAATCTTAATCCACCTAATCATTGTCAGATACTGCACTGTAATTCCTGACCTTTCCTCATTTGATGTACTTTAAATTATGGAAAAGATAGCATGACAAGGAAGTTATCAAGTGATACACTGTGTCCGGGTTGAGGAGAAAATGTCTTACAATACACACCGCCCTAGTGCGCGTGCAGCCCAGTGGCAGAGTGCTGGCTTGGCGGGCGCAGGCCGACTTTGATCCCCCGCTTCATTAAAAAAAAAAAAGAGACTGAACCATATTTGCACATAGCGGGCATGGTGGCACATGCCTGTAATCCCAGCACGTGGGAGGCTGAGGCAAAAGGGTCATTACTGTTGAGTTCAAAGCCAGCCTGACCTACAAAGTGAGTTCAAGGCCAGTCTGAACTGAACAGTGAGACCCTATGTCAAAAGACCGAAAAAAAAAAACAAAAAAAAAACCCAAAATTTAATTGTACAGTTATACATTCATGACTTGGTCTTGGACCTTTTTTTGGTGGTGGTGGTGGTCTGGGGGGCTGAACCCAGGGCCTGACGCACCAGGCAAGCGCTCTGCCCCAGCCAATGGCCTGTACTTGGCTTTGGGATTCTCACAATTAGTATCCAAAGATCACCAGGTTGAGTTCAACAACTTCTGTGAACAAATGCTAAGTGCTCTGTGAGCCAAGAATGAAGGCCCTACATAGCCAAGGTGCTGGGTTTCTGCCGGCGCACACACCCTTCCCAGCTGACTGCCAGGCCTGCGGCATCCAGAAGCTTCCGAAACCCATTCCCTACCACCCAGAACTCGGCTTCCAGGAATAGGGTGGCCGCCGACTGCAGGGCAGTGACAGCAAAAGGGCCTGGCCACCCGGAGGACTCAAAGTCACTGATGCACAAGGAAGGTGGGGCCACGGAAGCAGCGTGGAGGGCAAGGCGGTAAATGTCTGGTGAGGGAGAGTGTGCAGCCCCCGGCGGGTAGGTCCTCCAGGGAAGACGGTGATGCTGCTGTGGGGGAGCCTGGCGCTGCACGCTGGATCTTCAATGTTCCCAGCCAGGGTGTACCTTCAGGAGGAGGAACCGTGAGGGGCAGAAGCTTCTGAAGGGGACCTCCAGGGAGGGCGGCCTGGGTCCTGCCCCTTCCTGTTTGTCTTCTGCTTCTTGGATGCCATGGACCACATGGCCTTGTCCATGGCACCCAGCCACCACAACCACGGTCATGGGCCAGACGCTGGGGCCAGGAGCCCAACAGATCTTCACTCCTGTGCTGGTCACCTCAGTCACAAACACAAGAGGCCCGGAGCTGCGTTAATACAGGGGCTGCAGTCCTAGTGCCTACGGGAAGGCCTGCTGGAAAAGGTGTTCGGTCTGCACTGCAATTCACTCTCAGGATCCAAAGGAGAGCAGAGGGTGCTCTTTTCTTGCTTGTGTTCAGGGCAGTCCTGTCCGACCTTCCAGGACCTTCTGCTCCAAAGCCACACTTTTTAAAGCTAAACTGAACTCAGTGTTCACAACAAGTAATGCTGTAGTTCCGGTAAATGAGTAAGACCTTGATGCTCAAAATATAACCTAAGGGCCCTGGATATAAGTATTAAAAACTAAACACAATTCTGTTGCAATGCTCTGTCAGTATTCATTTCACGTTCTGAGGGAAAGGAGAGGCTTTTTTTTAGCTGATAATAAATGGGTTTTCCTCAGTGTCTGTCAGGATAAAGCTACTGAAAACTGGACTGAGAAACAGTGAACAATAAATTAGAGTCCAATTTCTCTAATCTGAATTTTCCACACGGGCAGAAGACTTAGAATGGCATTTTTGCAGCTTACCCTGCTAATGTCAAAATAGTAGTTTGAATTTTAAAAAGTAGAGCTTGGAGGAAACCAAGAACTCAGCAACAAAACTAGCTCATCCAAACATGAGCACTTTCTTTAGGGCAACACATTTCTTACTACGCCAGCAGATATAGTACAGTGAAGAGTAAGAAGACAAACAATGACCCTTTGCGCTCATCCTTAAGCCATTTCTGTCACTGCCACTGTGTTCAGGCGCCTCACATTTCCATATGCAACTAGAGCGTCTCTGTAAGGAGCCACACACTCCTCCTTGTCCCATGTGTTAATTCGGGCGAATAAAGGCACCGCTGGGGTCTGCGGGTGGGCGAAGCCGGCCAGAACACAGGCCTAAAACATGCCCCTGAGCCTTCAGAGCGCGTGCCTGTCAGGAGCAGTGACCTAGGGAAGGTGACCACACCCCTCTGTTGCACTGCACGATCCCCATCCCGAGGAGATCATAAGGACGCGCGCGGCACACGCAGGACCCGGCGGACACTACTCAGCTAGTGGGACCGGCTTTGCTCAGGGTCACGTGGAGCCCCGTTCTTGGTTCCAAGTCCTAGGGATGACCTTTCACAGTGGCAAGTGCTTAGGGCCCGCTCAACACCAAGATCCGCACAAGGCCCAACAGCAGGCTGGCTGCTGCTCTGAAATCTCTAACACCTTAAGCCCTCAGCTTAAAAAGATGCACCAAGTGTCAGCTGCGCTCTGTGCCTGGTCTCATCTAACTCGCTCTGTCTACACCACTGGTCCAGATGTGCCCAAGCCTGCTGTGCGCGCACGGGGTGGGCAGTTTTTGCGTGGCCTGGGTGCTGCACTGTGGCGCTCTCTCAGCTACGGCCCCACCTCCATGCGTTTCCCATCTGATGGGGTCTCTAGGTCGCTCCTTTCCAGGCTGGGCTTGAACTGTGAGCCCTACTGCAGGGCCAGGCACCTCCCTCCCCACCGCACTCAGTGCCACTATAGCCCCCCGCTCCTGGGTGGAGTTCACCTTATTCACTGCTCCTGCTGTTCTAGGCCAAAATGAAGTTCACCACTTCTATCCCACCGGGATGGGCTTCACTGCTGCCCTGCCGCTGCTTTGAGGCAGGTCTTGCCACGCTTAAGGCTGGCCTTGAACTCACGGCGCTCCTCCTGCCTCAGCAGTGCTGGGATTGCAGGAGTGCTACCATGCCTAGCTGGCCGTACTCCTGTGCCTCATTAATTCTGGTCTATCTCAGACTGGTTTCATCTGTTTTGTTTATAGCAGACAATCTGAGCAATTAAAATATATGCATTTAGGGAGGTGATTTATCTATCAGTTATGTACATAGACAAATGTCACCAGGCTTCCCACACCAATATATCACATACAGCCTCCAAGGTACTCTCGCCTCCCTTGCCAGAACGGCCTCTGCCACCTCCCCGTCTCCTCAGCCTGATCTGGGTGAAATGAGCTGGTGCAGACAGTCACAGAGCAGCTTCCAGGCCTCTGGACAACCGAGTGGGAGTCCTGGGCTGCAGTGGCTGCCGCAGACGCAGGCCAGCAGGAGCTATGCGGGGCCTCGGTACGACGTTCACAAGGACATTAACGGGGCCTCCCAGCAGCGCACGCTGAGAAAGGCTTTGCGCCGGGCCTCTGCAGCCGAAGCGTTCTCTCCAGCATCGGGTCAGGATGACATTTTTCTAAGGCCTCTACGTACGGACGGCTACACTGAGGCACGCTACACCTCGACTCTGTAGAGAACCTACGAGCGCACACAACGCGTGAAGCTGAGGACTCTGTAGTTCGCAGCATAACCCTTTTCCATGCACAAGGGGTTGTGAACAGAATTTTAACAAGTTAAAAACAATCTATTATATGCAATATCTCACATGAATCAGAAGACAAACACAGCTGGAGTATTCTGGTAACTTTAAGAAATATGACCTTTCTATAACGCTTACTGGATTAACTCTGCTGACATGATTACTCTGCCTGCAAAACTAGACTTCAGTGTTAAACAGCAATTATTAATAGCAGTTCAGGTAAAACAAACCTGTACGTACGTTAGGGTCGTTTCCTTTCTGGAGAAGTGCTCGGGATCTTGGTCAGGGTCCTTGAATCCAGTGAAGGCGTAGTAAGACCTGTTCCATTTGATGGGCCTATCGGGTGTCCCCTTGGCTTCTCTGAGAGGCTGGGAATGCACATTAGTGTTCAAGCTTTGGATATGTTCCACAGATAAACTGCAGGAGTTGAGAATATACAATACTGTGCTTAGCAGGTCTCTGGTGTGCAAAGTAAATTTGACTGCTCGAAATCCTAGAGAATATAATTCCCCCAAACAATTAATACAGATGATTATTTGCTCTACTTTGAAAATAGTTTTGCATGCAACATTTATACAAAGTCTTTTACAATAGTCTATTACTGCTTACAATTAACATTACTGGGAAATTACATGCAAAATGTAAAACAATTTTCCTTCTCCTTTCCCTCATGTCACCTCTCTACTAGCGGGGCACCTGTGACTAAACCCACCCCTACTGCAGAGGGTAGCTGAAACGTCTTCAATGCTGCCTGAGAACCGGACCTCCAGGGAGACAGGAGAACTCTCCCTCCTAAGAGCAGGTATCCACTGACAGCATCTTGCACGGACGGCAAGCACAGCGGCATGGTGACAAGTGACACACAGGTGGCACCATGACAGTGCAGATGAGCATGGTCTGCTGTCCAGTCTGGGTGGTCACGGAAACCATCCCAACTGTTCTTGTGGGTTGTAAGGTCCTCCTCCTCCTCTTCCTCCTCCTCCTTCTCCTCCCTCACTGTGCTGCTAGCTATGCAGTATTTTCCACAGTGACTGAAAGGTACTAAGTGCTTGAAAGCTGGTGCTTCGCACTCTGGTTCTGGGGTTGGTGAAGGTTCGCAGCCAGCACTCTTGGGTCACCGCAGGAAAGCTGGCGCTCCTTCAGCTGGTGCCAAGTGAGGCTGGACCTGCGGCATCAGCGCCTCAGCCCCACGCCCAGCTGCCGCTGGCACAGCCTCTGGTCTCTGGCAAGCCCAGGCCAAAGGAGGTCAAGGGCAAGGGCTGGGTCTGAGCTGACACCAATCAAGTACTTTCTCCCCAACAACATGCTCTTCTCCTTTTTAAATGGTTTTTAAAATTAGTTTTGAAAATTATACAAGTATTAAGTACATGCTTGCTGTAAAATTACACACTAGTTATAAATACATGTGCAAAGCCCTGCTGCAGAAGCCGTGTCGCACACACTCACATCTCACTAGATGCGGCCAAGGCTGCTGGGCAGGCAGCTGTTCTTGCACAGCTGAGGCATGTGGCTGGCTTCTGGCCACGCGTGGCTGCTGACAGGCACGTTGCAGAGCACACTGGCCACCCTCCCAGCTCGCGTGGCTGCGCCGCGTGAGCGTTCCTGCAGCCACCACGCAGTCAGACTATTTCCCACACAGGAAGGGTTCCTGGACAGTGCTGGGCTGAACCTGTCCTCTGCGCTTCTGTGTGCTGCTACAGGACACGTGTGCATGTGTTCACAGACACACAGCCACTCAGCTGGAATTGCTGTTTTTATTTTTTGAGGCAGGGTCTCCCTGTGTGGCCCAGTCTGGTGTCAAACTCATTATGTAGCTGAGGCTGGCCTCAGATTTGTGGCGATCCTCCTGCCTCAGCCTCCTGAGTGCCGGGATTACAGGCACATATCCCCGCGCCCGATGGGCATTACTCCTTTTTGTTAGGTATGTGGTATCACTCTGGAGAAGACATCCTGGACTCCCGCTTGTCACAGTGTTGGTGACACTCGTCCCTCCGCAGGTGTCAATCAGCCTCACGCTTTCAGCAGTTGTGAACAGTCCACTTAATGGATGCAGCACAGTGAATGCCACCAGCCGTGGTGGACACAGAAACCGCTCTCAGCTCGCCTCCATTCCAAAGCCCGACACGTCTTCTGGTCCTCGCAGCTGCTGAGGACACTGCACTTCAGACTGTCCTCCGAGACGCAGCTTCTGCTTGCCACACAAGCCCACAGGACTCAGGGGACACAAACTAAGGGGGGTTTCCACTTGGCCCGTCTGATGGAACAGTGACAACTACAGCAGCAGAGCTGTTCTATCAGAACTGTGAGGTAGGAAAGAAAGACCCAGACTTGTGCCCTGGAGGGTAGAACACAGCAAGCCCCTTAACACCGCTAAGCACTGAGTAAATCTGTTTCTCGATCAGTTCATTATTTTAAAAAATCTTTATTTATTTGGTACAGGATCTTACTACTCAGACCGATGGGAGCCTGTCTCAGCCTTCCCAGAGCTGGGATTTCCAGTCACCACATCCACCACATCACTTGGTTTTGGTGGCTAGCTCGGTGTGGGGCCGGCAGGGCACGCGGTACTGGGGATCAAACCCTGGTCCTTGTGCTTGTCAGGCAGGTGCTTAGCCCACTGAACTATCTCCTTGACCCCAATTTTTTTTTTTAAAAGACAAGGTCTTGCTATGCAGTTCAGGCTGTCCTTGAACCCACTATAGGGCTCAAGATGGTCTTGAACTTGCAACGATCCTCCTGCCTCAGCCTCCAAAGTGCTGGGATTATAGGCCTGCACCACCATACCTGGTTACTTCATTAATTATTTAATCCAATAAAAGGCTGCTGTAGAGTGGGGAGGACTTGTACCAGAATGTACATTTCCTTTACTGGATCCCTGCATTTCTAGAAGAGCCCTTTGCAGTTTTAGAGAAATAATTCCAAGCACATTCTAGGAAGCTTACATGAATTTATACCCCTAAAGTGTAAAGATGGTATCTCCCTATATGGGGTCATTTCTAGTAAAAAGTGAAAAAAGTTTTTCTTTATGGATAGTAAGAACTCTTTATACTACTCAGACATCACGCTTTCTCCCATTTCCAATCTTTTCTGTAACCTATTTTGTTTAAAGACTAGCTTGGGGCCGGGGAGATGGCTCAGTGGAAGAAGTGCTTCCCTAGTAAGCCCAAGGGCCTGAGTTCAATCCCTGGTGCCGAAAAAAAAAAAAAAAAAAAAAAGACTAGCTTAACAAGTTAATCATTAACTGAAAGTGCAGAACCTTTTGTCTTTACTCTGAGCTCGTTATAGCTGTATGCTTCAGAACTGGTTTACAGAAAGCTAAATCTTTAGCTTGTTCTACAATTTACTCGAACAATAAAGCATATTTTTTTATAGGCCACAAAAAATGTGAAGCTGAAGCCGTTACGAGGCCTTTTAGGAATTTCGAAGCATTCCTACGGCGCGCAGCTCATGAAGCGTCACTGGTGAGAGTCTCTGGTGAGCACTGTGTCTCACAACCATCTTAATTATCAACGTAAACTTCTCGTATTCTAGATGAAAAAACTTAAAGATTTTGATTTTAATTTTATAATAAGACAAAAATGTTAAAGAAATACACGCTCTACACTGCCCTCTGAGCACTAGCCTTTGTCAGCAAAGGAGAAGAACGTGCGCCAGCACATCCTAAAAGGACGTGGCGTGCGAACCGACGACCGTGAGACACACGTGTCCCAGCACCTGCTCTGCCGGTTTGCAAACCCAGCTCCTCTGTACTGCACTGAACATCTAAGCTGATGGTATTCTCAAAGGAGTGACTGTAGCTCCAGAAATGAGCCTAACTTTCCTAAATACATAAAAACGAACACAGTTTGGTGGTGTCGTCTTTATTTTTAAAACTGTTAAAAGGTATAATCTGCCTCTGTAAGTTTTACCTGTCCTCTGGGAGAAATCATGAACTCTAAGCCAATCACTATCCATGGGCTGTTTCTTCAAGCCCAGCCCAACCTCAATGCTAAAGAGCAGGGACGTTTATTAAACCCTTACGAACATTTGGTTTCACACTAGCAAAACACTGCGTCTCCTGAGACTCCCAGCTAAGTGGCGCACTCGTAATGACTCAGACAAAAATGATTCTGTACACTTTAAACAGAACTGCATCACAGAATGAAGAACAGTCATCACTATTCACACAATTGTTCAGTGTAGCTGTCCCTTTACAAAGGGCCAAGAGGGGATTTTTTTTGCTGAATAATAAAGAGGAGCTATTTTTAACGAAATTCTAAATCAGAGTGAGAAGGAGAAACCATCAAGAAAAGGAGTCTGTGTTCTTTGCTCTTCCACATTCGGTCATAGAAAGACGAGGACGGAGAGCACTGGGCGGTGGTGGCCCGAGCGGGCGGAAGCTGCCCTCCACGCGGCCTCGGCCTGCCTGCTCGGAGCTGGCGCCCGGCTCCCGCAGCTGGGGCAGCCGCGCGCAGAGGCGCGGCCTGTGGGTTGCTACAACGGATGAAGACCCGCAGGCCAAGTCAAGGTCGCACAGCTTGTCTCTGGCAGCGCTGGAAAGATTCTAGGTCTCAAAAGACTATCAAGTTCTGTGTCGTGCAATAGTTTAAAAAAGATTAGAGCACATTTTCTGTTTCAGTCTTAACTCACAGAAAGCTCTCAGGGTATCTTGACTTGTTATAAAATGAAGTCATTTCCTCAAGGACCATCACAGTGATACTTGTTTAGAGACAGGGCAGGCCCGCCCGGCTCTTCGTGCAGTACAGCCTGACTGGATCATGACTCACGCAGACATAAGAGGTACAAGAAAGAAAGCTGTGAGCTGCAAGACCTCTTCAACCCGGGACTCCCACAAAATGCTTTTCTAGAATCTGACCAATCCGTTTCTAGGCTCCTGGTGGGTCGCTGAGCCTGGAAAGATTGGTTAGATTCTAGAAAAATCACACACTGGCGCTGTACCTACCGAAAGAGAATGCGAGTGGCACTCTCAAACGCATCAGTCCTTCCAGCGCCGGCACTGCCAGGCAAGCGTGCAAATGTGAGCTGTTACGCAAAGCTAAGCAGCAGCACCAAAACGGCAAGGGGACAGGCACCGCACCGCTGCGGATAATAAAGCGTGAGGCGCACAAAAATGGCTTGTTCAAAGCTATGCAGCTAGGAATAAAACTGGCCTCAGCTCAGCGACACTGTCTGCAGTGGTCGGGGCTTCAGAGGGTGGCGGCACGGCCAGACGAGCGGGCGCATGCAACGGGACTCTTCACGGGCAGAGTGGAAACACAAAGCCACCTACCGGAAGAGTTAGGGGATTCCTGGCCGTCTGAGGACGCCTGGTCTGTGTCTCTCACATAAAATGTAAGCGGAGTTGGTTTCAAAGCCTTGGTGCCTGGTCTCTGCAGGTTTTCTAAGTAGGCACTTAATCTCTTCAGAGAATTTTCATTGACCTCCTGGAAAATATCAACAGTGTTTACACAAAAATGAGAACAAGAAAATCAAGTAGACAGTGGCCTTCCAAATGATACTGAGGGTATAAAATAACTTAAAATTTACACACACTGAATTCTGTAGCTCTTTTTTTCTGTTTTATAGTGCTGAGGATAAGACTCGGCCCTGAGCATGCTGGGCCAGCACCCCACCCTGCCTTGTGTGCTCTGTGGAGACTGGACCCAACCTCGTGCCCGGCAGGGAGTGAGCACGAATGTCGGAGTAGAAAAACCACCCGCTGTGAGCACTAGCAAGTACCTCAGTGCTCCACAGCCAGAAGGGGAAAACCCAACTCTGCCCGAACAGTTCAAAGGACAAACACCTGCTAAGTCCAGTTACATTCCTATACTTACATCCAGTGGCATATTCCTAGTATGCAAAAAATTTTTTTTGGTGGACCTGGGGATTGAACTCAGGCCCTCGCGCTTGCCAGGGAAGCGCTTATTCTACTGAGCCATCTTCCCGGCCCCACAAAATGTTTTTGCACACAAAAAAAACCCCACCTAAAACCCAAATGCCATGTACACAGTAAGCAAAGCCATTGCAACTAAAAGCTCTTCCACCTCAGTGGGTGAAGACGCTACACTCAGTGGAGCATTACGCAGCCAAACAAGAGCATAATGCAAAATGGAAGACGCCTGTGGATGGGGGATTTCAATGAAATCATTTTTTCTTTTTTTCTTTTCAGAACCAGGGATTGAACTCAGGTCCTTGCGCTTGCCAGGGAAGCGCTTATTCCACTGGGCCATCTCCCCGGCCCTTAATGAAATCATTTTTGATTTTCATTGAAAAAATGAAATCATTTTCATTTTTTTTTTTTTTAAATGTTTTTAGTGAAGGATGGCATAAACAGTCACGCTTCTCCCTCACAGGCTCCTCAGGCGTGGCGCAGCCTCCAGCTAGGTGGAATCACTGTCTGCTCACTACTGGTTGCCGGCTTGGGTGGGAAGGCCCCCTGCACCGAGGCAGCGTGGCCCTGTGCGGGAGACCCGCTGAGGGAGGACGGGTGCCGGAGCACTCTGCATACAGAGGGGCACGAGGCATCCAGCTGTTTCTCCCCGGAGGAGCTCTGGGTGTCGCCGCTGCCTCGGCTTCTGTACAGGTTCTGCGGCAGACCCTCAGCTGCTAGTGTCCTTGCCACTGCTTGGCAAAGACCCCTCTATCTTCTGTCGAGAATCTTTTGGCCACCTGAGAAGGACACGAATGGGCCACTGCTGCGGGTTCCAGACCTTCGGCTAGAGCCTCTGGATCTATAGCGTTCGGCAGGCCTTTTGCGCACCTGCGTCTCACTCTGTGGGGGCCACTGCAGGCCAATCTTGTCAATTTCTGTGCCCTGCATTCGGTCCGACTTGGAGCTGTGCAGACTGAGGTGCCTCATGCGGGCCCGCAAGCCCTGCAAGTGCTACTGCAGTCGGTGTCAGCCCCGAGAGCCCTGTGCAGGGTGGGCGCACTTTCTGCCAGTGTGCAGAAGTGTTTTAGGTCTGTATTCTATTCTTGCTGCGAAGAAGCAAAGCCGCGGCAGCCCTGCCTTGGAGAGGCAAAGCCGCGGC